ATGAAAGAGTGTGAAAAAAAATGCAAAGTAAGATGTTAGTTACTAAAAAAAGCATCAGAATATGAAGACCAAAGACCAATACATAATTGATATTCACTTTATATATATATATAATTTTTTTTTAAGTAATTAAATGATATAATGGTCCAACAGAATGTGAAAACCAAAAACCAAAAGTAGTTATATAATTGGTATAAATATCGTACAGGTGTTTTTTTATTTATTATTTATCTTAATATTTTGAATAAAATTTTAAGATTAAAAAAATATTTTTAAAACATTACCAGTTCAAATTATTTTCTACGGCGGTTCCAAAACGCTGTTTTTTTTCCCTTTCTAGTTAATGGACCCGACCAATTCCTGGTCGGACAAAAGCTCAGTTTGATTTTCAAAATTATTGTTTACCCTAAAAAAAAAAAAAAAAGTTGTCCAAGCTGAATTTTGAGAAAATGGGCTGACAAAGAAATTGAAGAAAGACTTAACAAGTACAGGCATTGATAATATAAGAAAAAAGAAACGAATAAAGAACGCCCAGCAAGGAGACAAAACCAAAAGTCTTACGACCATTAAGGTTATAAGAAAGCTGCAAATTTTAATTTAAATAAAACGTAGAAGTTTCAAGAAAGATGGGACTACAGATCAAGTGTTTGGGGATACATTATTATATAAAGCAAATAATCTATGCCCCATCAGTGCTCATAGCTTAATCCATGTTAGCTAGTTTATTTTAGAGATATTATCGTTTATTTTTACAACTTTCTAAGAAAGCTTTGGAAAAATAACTGATTATTTCCATGATACTAATCTTTCCTAAATCCTGAGTGTACACTTACGTGTCATTGATCATGATCTATACTGTAGCATGCCTGACATCAGGAGTTCAATTTCTGACCTGTTTTCATTTTCTTCCCTCTTTCCCAAGTGATGGTATTGTAATCATGATCAATTGAGTATAAATATCAGGTCTGCTGCTAAAAAGCTTCTGTGCAAGATTGAAGATTCACTGGTAAGCAACTGAGCATCATATCTGTAATTCAGTACTATGCAGGTCATGCATAGATAGCATTTGGAAGCTTAAATGCATAGTAGATATTTTGCATGCAATCATATCATTAACAACTTTCAAGTCAACTAAAACATTTGAAGTAGCTTGTACCGACTTGAGATTCCAGGTAACCTAAAAACTGCGGAGGAAGTGTAGGAATAAAGCAAATCATTTTGAAGCATGGAATACATGCTACAACTGTGTGCAAACAAGTCAAGCCAAGTTGTTGACATGAAAAAAAAGAAAATAAATCCAAGAGAATAGTACCAATTGCCAAATTAGAATCAGTAAGACCAACAGATAGAAGTAATAATTGTGCAAAGAAAAAAAAAAGAATAAATACTGAATTAAAAAGAAAGCATGGAAAATTGAGTTACTTCAAGAATGAAAAGTATGAAGTCTAGAAAGGAAAAACGGATTGCCAATTTTCAGCAAGCAATTAGAGCTTGATGTTAGACAGTTGTTTTAATTCGCACTCATTGGCGGTCAGATTTAATGCTATACATCATATCTCAAGGTGCAGGAAATGAAATGGGTGCCTAACTGTGAGCTCATTTAAAGATAAAAAAATTACTAGACCTACTTTAAACTCTAGTGTGGCGAGTTGATTAGAGCCTACCAATGAGTGGGAATAAAAATTAAAAGTATAATAGAAAACAGACGACGGTTTCAGGACACAACTCATTAGATTCGCGCACAAACTTCTTCACTATTTTAAACAGGAAAGGCAGAATATGCAATACATTTGTAGACAGGAGAGAAGTTTTAAGCTTTTCCCCAACTTCAGAAAGAGTGGACAACCAAGTTCTTTAGATGAAGAACATTATGTTTTCCAGGTCAGCATGCAACGTGTAAAATCCCTGTTCAAATGAAGCTGATCGTGAAGCTGATGAAGCATCTTTAGAAGATGAAGATGTTGACTTCACAGACTGCACCCCAATCCTTGCGTCATGATATAATCGTCCTCTATAAGCAGCAAGGTCAGCATAATACACAGGAGGAACTAAAGATACAGGTTTAGTGCACTTTGCAAAGGTAAAACACATCTCGTATATGAGCTTCTGCAATTCATCAGATGTAAACTTGTGTTCATCCCATAAAACATGGTAATGAGTGGGCTTGCTTGTACCCAAGTTTCCATAGTAACTACAAAGGTAAAAGTCAAACTCAAAAGGGTGTGTAACTTTTGTGTCCACAATAGTTCCTGGCAAGATATTGCCACTGGAAGACCCATCCCTCCAACCCTCTGGGAAAAATCGAGTTTGATGTCGCTTTTGTGCTACAATGAGAGTGATTGTTGGAAAGTAATTTACTCTTTGAAATACTCTCTTCAAATCTAGTAGCTCCTCATTAAGAACCATGTCAAACTGGTACTCACTCACCCCATCACGGAAAATAACAATTCTTTCTGGCCTAACTCCATTCATCCTCCTGTAACATGCAACAAGGTCAAGACAAACCTCCCCAAAGTTCAATATTTTCTCGCTTCGATTGTATTGTGGGAAAACACGTGCTGCATAACGATTTGCAGCAGGCCAATTAACAGTAGCAACCACAGCAGTAATTGATGGACTTCTGGTGTCCCGATAACCAGGATGATTGACATCAGCCCCTAAAAACATAACATGTCCTTCACCCTCAAAGTAAGGAAGTCCATTACTGAGCTCCACGTTACTGCCTCCAAGCTTGGCATTGATCTTAAGAGCAAGATTAGTATAAAATTTGTCCTCCCCTTCATTAGCACTATTAGACAAGCAGCATTGTGTCACTAACCCAAGTTTGGTCTCAGAAATCCACTTGAGGTACTTATAACCTGGGCTTTTTCTAGCCATTACACAGAGAAGAAATTGCAGGTGGCCTTGGTTATATTTACAAATATTGTTAATTTTTTCAAGTAATTCAGATAGCAAATCATAAGTGGCAAGTATCTTCATTGAAGATTCTTCATAACAAATGGGCTCCTGCATGTATATACCCAATTTCTGGTATTTACCTATAAGCTTTTGAATGAATTCCTTACCTCTTAATTTGTACTTATATGGCCCAAAACTAGTGAAATCCAGAATGCCCCATTGCTCAACTGGTTTACCTTCCACCATTGATCTTCCAGCAAGATTCCAATGACATTTCTCCAGATCCACTGTCACTTTGATTATCTTTCCATTTGGATCACCTAACTTCAATTCTGGAGGGCCAATTACACGTCCTACAATAGTTGTCATGGTTGTGTTGACACTCATTCCAAAATTTTGAATAAGATCACCGCTGCCAAATGAAGACATTGTAAGTTACACGTCTCCTACGATAGAAAACCAAGATAGTGGACCAATTGTATAATCACAAAATATCAACAGACATTACAAGGTAATGAATACAAAATTGTGAAGTTTTCTACTTATATGCTAAGCTAGAACAATTGCTACACAGCTGAGCATCATGTTTGATAATTTCATGATTTGAAAAGTATTCATCGTCACTATAAGTAGAAATTTAAGTGCATATGTCATAATTTATCAGCAATCTAATAGTATATTTTTCCTAATTTCATCAGCAGTCTAGCATTAGAGTGTGATTCATGTTCTTTAGCTAACATTATTATTGTCAATTTCATTATAATCCTAGGAACACTGTCAAAAATAATGTTCTCTTCTGTCTTCCAAAAAAAAGCTGAGTCTCTTGATTGTCCTAGTCTTAATCGGTTCAAATTCTACTGCTGGAAAGAGTAGAGTCTATTTCTTTCCTGCAAGCAACTAAGGTTTTCCATCCTATTATTATGTTTCTTTTGATTAGTCTCTTGTTTAAATATACAAAGAATTTACCAACTTCCACTTTGGCCATTAGTACTAGATCATATGGACTAAACTTGTTTGGTAACTTGCACCTCACACCTGGAAGATATTTCATGCTTAGTTGACAGATTTTTTCATGCACATGAAGTTTATGGGTTCATTTTCACCTTTTAAAACCCTATGTCTAATCTGCATATGCGCTGGAATTGCAATGTGTATGTAACCTGCAATTTACTCTTTAAATAAGTATCTGACAATCTAAATTCATCATTGACAATTCATGCAACTGCAACTAAAATCAAGGAAAGAAAAAATACTAGTTCCAAAAGATATACACATTAAGAAATAATGCAGTTGAAATTATATTACCCATTCACCCTTACCCGCAAGGTCCATCACTAGACTGCACCATCTTATGTATTGCAGACTCTCTCTCATTTGGGTGAGATAGTGACATTGCTTTCAATGTATTTGCAGAAATACTATCCAGACGCTCTTTGGGATATCTTTGGCCCTCAACCAAAACACAGAACTCCATGGGTACATAGTTTTTCTTCTTGTCTTTCCCT